TTTTCTCTTCTCTTGGTATTTTGCACCAGAGTTCTTGTGTTCAGACTCCACAGCAAAATGGAGTTGCAGAAAGAAAGCATATACATCTTTTAGAAGTAGCTAGGGCTTTACGTTTTCAATCAAATGTGCCTATTAAGTTTTGGGGTAAATGTGTGTTGACAGTTTGTTTCATTATAAACAAGCTTCCTTCTTCTGTTTTGCAATGGAGAACTTCTTATGAAATTATTTATCACAAACCTCCTGATATGTCTATCCTTAGAGTTTTTGGTTGTTTGTGTTATACTACTGGCCCTAAACTAACTGATAAATTTGCTCCTAGAGCCTTACCTTCTGTTTTCATGGGATATTCTAATACTCAAAAAGGTTATCTTTTGTTTGACCTTACTTCTAAGAAGATCTTTTTCAATAGAGATGTTATTTTTCATGAACATGTGTTTCCTTTTCATTTTCCTGTTCAGACAGATCCCTTTTTCCCTTTCAATCCCTCTATTCATGATTCTGAGTTCCTAATTCTTTCTTTTGGTCAGCAACATGTTCCTATTGTACCACATGATTCTTCTTCCATACTTGAACCTAGGCAATCATCATAACAGTTAGAATCTTTTATGGGTCCAGTAGCTCCAGTCTTGGTTAGGAAGTTTACTAGGGTTACTAAACAACCTCAATGGTTGAATAACTTTATTTGCAATTATGTTTTTACTTCTACTTATCCCATTTCAGATTCTATTTCTTATAATCATCTTCCTCTTGTTACACAATCTTTTGTTTTCTCTATTTCGCATCCTGTTGAACCTAAATCTTTTTATGAGGTCATTCAACTTCCAGAATGGGTACGGGCTATGAAGGATGAAATTCTTGCTCTTGAAACAAATAAAACTTGGTCAGTTATCTGGAAAAGTCCCTATTGGTTGCAAATGGGTTTATAGGGTTAAATATAATGTTGATGGTAATGTAGATAGCTTTAAAGCTCGTTTGGTAGCCAAGGGTTATAGTCAAAAAGAGGGTGTAGATTATGTGGATACCTTCTCACCAGTGGTCAAATTGGTTATTGTTCGTTTTCTTCTTGCCATTGCTTATGTTTTTTATTGGCCTTTGTTCCAGCTTGATGTGTATAATGCCTTTTTACAAGGTGATTTGTCTGAAGAGGTATATATGGAACTTCCTCATGGTTTTTGCAGTCAGGGGGAGAATAAGGTATGTAGACTGCAAAAATCTCTTTATGCTTGAAACAAACATCTAGGTAGTGGAATTTGAAGTTAACTGAGGCACTTTTAGGTGATGGTTATGAACAAAGCAAATTTGATTATTCTTTGTTCACAATGAGGAAAGATAAGAAGATTGTAGTCTTGCTGATTTATGTTGATGACTTGCTAATTACTGGCAATGACAATTTTTTATTGATGATTTAAAGAGTCTTTTGAACAAGAAGTTTAGAATGAAAGATCTTGGTGAGTTGAACTATTTTTTGGGTCTTGAGATTATGAGATCAACAAAAGGGATCTTAGTTAATCAGCACAAATATGCCCTTGAATTGATTGAGGAAATAGGAGTAAGTGGTTCAAAACCAGCAAAGACTCCCCTTGAATAAAATGCTAGGCTTACTACAACAGAGTATGATGAGCTGTGCACAAAAGGAAGTAATGAAGTTAATGAGTTATTAGCTGACAAGAGTGTTTATCAAAGGCCCATTGGAAGACTTATTTACCCCACACACCACAGACCAGATATATTTTGTTGTGCATCACTTGAGTCAATTTATGCATCACTTGAATAAAAAGAATCCTGGTCAAGGGATCTTGATGGATTCAAACAGCAGTTGTGATCTTGAATCATATTATGATTCAAAGTGGGTTGCATGTCCTATTTCAAGAAGGTATGTTTCTGGTTTTTGCATTAAGCTTGGAAATTCATTGATTTCATAGAAGTCCAAGAAACAGAATACAGTAGCCAGATCATCTGCTGAAGTAGAATACAGAAGCATGGTTGTTACATCAGTTGAATTGACTTGGTTAAATGGTTTAGCCAATGAGCTTCGGTTAGAAAGAAAGTATCCAATCAAGCTATATTGTGATAACAAAGCTGCTCTTCATATTGCAGCAAATCTAGTGTATCATGAGCTCACAAAGCATATAAAAATTGACTGTCACTTTGTAAGGGAGAATACAAGAAGAACTTATCAAAACAGAATTTGTGTCTTCTTCAGAGCAATTAGCAGACATATTTACTAAAGCTCTAGGAGTACAACAACATGAGTATCTTGTATCCAAGTTGGGGGTAAAAAATATTTTCTACCCACCAACTTGAGGGGGAGTGTTAGAAGTTAAAGTCTGTTATTTCTGTTTTACTTGTAACAAATTGACAGTTAGTTAGTTAGATTAGAATTATATATATGTATAGTTTCTATTCTAAAATAATACATATGAGGAATTATTCAATCTTGCATTTACAAATTTAGCAAATTTATTTTATACTCACTAAAAATTATTTTTATTATTAATAACTTAATTAAAAGGGATTTTCCTTGTTCTAGATGTTGAATGAGTTAGAGCTTTTAAATTTTATTTTTAGTTTGTATCTTCCAATTTATTTTATTTTAGGTATTAGAGACGTAGTTAGAGGATTTAGCAATTGATGTTAGGATTAGATAACATCAGTTCTTTTAGAATCTCGAATATTAGGGTTTTTTAGAATCTAGAATTGTTAACGAACTCTTTTTTGTATTTATATTCTTCACGTCTAGATTTCAAAAGCATGTCGTACATTTCAAATACTCTCGTCACATTATTTTAAACGACGTATTTTGTGAAATTAATTGGACATTTGATATCTTTCTAGACATTTGAGGATTTCGAGGTTATTTAACGAGAGAACATATGTTTGTTTTTTTATATATAAAAACAATATCATGAGAACTTTTGGACTTTGAGGAATACTTCTAAATTTTCTTAAAAGTCATAAATTTTTTAGGTGTTTTAAAGAGTTGTAAATTTCGAGCTTTTAGCATGATTCATGAAAATCAAGGTGTCTTCTTGAATGAGATTAAATTTCAACATTCTTCTAGATGTTGGAGAATGCTCGAAATCACTTATGAAACACTTTGTCCTCGGAATTTTACACATATTAATTTTTTGAATTTTTAGGGTTTTTGAGCATAATTTTGATTCTCTTATCCATTAGAGAATTCAAAGTTAATCTTGAGAATTTAAAAATTCCTTATTAATCTCAAAATATAATAATAGTATATATGAGTCGAGATAGAATATTTGTGGTCAAGTAAGCGCCATTTTTATGGGCGTTGTGAGAGTCTTAACCCTTCTTCATATATAACCGTGACCCTAAACCCACTTTTGATTTCCGTAGACCTAAATATTTTTATGGAGTTTTAATCTCACCTTAAACTGATGGGTGGCGACTCTCCCTCGTCATTTCACAAAGTCGTACAATTTAATTTTTTATTTTGTTAAAAAATGATGTCGACAAAAGTCATCCCTCCTGCCCTCGCTCAAAACTCCTTCATGGCTCTTCTGTCTTACTGGATCATGGCTAATTTAATGAACAAAGACAGCATCCCACGTATGGTAATTTCTTGGGTTGTTTTCTTTCCAACTTTCATTTGGCAGATTTGAAAAAGGAGAAATTCAAACAATTCAAGCTCTAGCATCGATGACACCCTCTAACGTAGTATTTTTTGGTCAACTCATGTTGAAGCTTGCCTTCAACCCATTGCTCCTCCAAGGACTAGATATCCAACTATGATCATGTGGCGACCTCCCATGCACGTGCAAAACTGTCTCAACTTTGATGCTTCGATTGACGTTTTTTCTGGCCTTGGCTTAGTCAGTGGTGTGCTCCGAACGAGAGAAGGTGACTGGCTTCAAGGATTCCACAAGTTTATCGAAATCTCGTCTCCTCTTATAGCTGGGCTTTGGGGTATCTACATTTGCTTGCATACTGCATGGAATTATGGTGTTGAAGCCGTGCAAAAGCCGATAAGCGATCCAACTGCTTCTTGTCCCTAATGCTGGTTATACGATGATTCCTCTCGTTAGAGTAATCAATACATGTGTGCTCATAGCTGGTATATGGAGTTTCTATGAGTCCCTCGTGAAGAGAACATGGTTGTTGATGGAGTGACAAAGCTCGACCCCCTCGCGATTATCTATTACACTCTTTTCCTTCTGCTCCAGATTCTATGCTTCAGCCTATTGCCCATGATTTACATGGCCCTCCGTACGTTAAACTTGTCAAAAGCTAGGTAGGCTTCGCATATCCTTTCATTCAAAAAGTATATATATATATCTTATTTGTGTGGTCAGACGTGTAATCAATAGATTTATATATGAATTCTTTACTTCTCTATTTATAGCCTTGCATTGAATAATTTTTTTTTATAATTCTGGATAAATACAAAGTAATATCTATTTAAAGATATTTAATCATTTGATAATAAATATTAACATTTTATATATGTGGTGTTCGAACCCGAAATCTCAAAGAATAACAATAATTCATTAACTGTTATGCTAAGGTCGATTGGTTAATGCATATTGAATATGATTCTAAAACTATACTTTTATATAAAATATTCTCTTACAACCTTTTATACAAAATAATATAGATTAAAGTTATGGGGGAATTATAAGTTTAGTTAATTTGTAATTGGGTGAATCACACCCAAACTCGCAAACTTTAAATGTGGATATTATCCCCATATGAATTGTGCTACGACTTACATATTATGGAATTTTATACAAGTCATTTTTTTGTCAAAATGTATATAAATTTTAATTCAAGAAGAATATCGTATATAAATTTTAATAATTACATTGATGGCGAAAATATAAATTGTCAATTAGATCCGAACAATTCTCAGTCCAAGCTGATTTCTATAACAATCCTTGTCCTTGTCCATGCTTTGGACCGAAAACATTGGAAGCATCAAAGAACAAAACCACCATCATCAACAACAAGATAAACAAAACCAAAATAAACGGTTAAAGCCTTGTAGGAAAACAAATGAACTCTACCCAGCAACGCATGCCACAGAACAGATTGAGAGGGCTAATCATTTATTTGCTCCTGGCTATGGCTTTACTGTACATTGCATACTCCAATCTCATGTTCAGCAAAACTGAGCGCAAAGGTCCCGCTCTAACCATTATCTCCAACAAAATTATAGCACCACCCTTTAACCATTCCTCCAACACCTCTTCGCCAGTAGAGCAAAGGCAAGTGAGCCCTGTTGTTGAACCACCACCACCCCCGATGCGATACCAACGATCCGATACTCAGCTGAAACACATTGCTTTCGGGTTAGCATCTTCGTCCCATTTGTGGGAGACCAGGAAAGAGTACATAAAAGCATGGTGGAGGCCAAATCAGACTAGAGGGGCGGTTTGGTTGGATAAGAAAGTGGTGACGAAGAAAGGCGAAGCTCTGCCGGAGATTCGGGTTTCCGCGAATACGTCTCATTTTAAGTACTCAAACAGGGTGGGGTCTAGATCAGCATTGAGGATAACGAGAGTGGTCTCGGAGACATTGAAGCTTAAAATGAAGGATGTTAGGTGGTTCGTTATGGGGGATGATGACACAGCTTTTATTGTTGATAATTTGGTCAGGGTGCTGTCTAAATATGATCATACAAAGTTTTATTACATTGGGAGTGCATCAGAGAGTCATATTCAGAATATATTGTTTTCATATTCAATGGCTTTTGGAGGGGGTGGATTTGCAATAAGCTATCCGTTGGCGAAAGAGTTGTCAAAGATGCAGAACAAATGCATACAACGGTATCCGTCATTATACGGTAGCGATGACAGGATACAGGCTTGCATGGCTGAGCTTGGGGTGCCCCTCACCAGGGAGCTTGGCTTCCATCAGGTAATGCTTCCACTTCTGAAGCAATGCAAATGTATGAATCTTTTCCCCCCATCAAACATAATGTATGAATCTTATGCTTGTACAGTATGATGTGTATGGAAACGTATTAGGCCTCTTGGGAGCCCATCCAGTGACTCCTTTGGTATCACTTCACCACCTAGATGTATTGTATCCTATATTCCCGGGTATGAGACGAGCACGAGCTATTTCGCACCTGCTTGAAGCCGCTAAATTGGATTCGGCGAGTCTGATGCAACAATCCATCTGCTACGACTCAATTCGATACTGGTCCATCTCGGTCTCGTGGGGCTATGTGGTTCAAATCTTGAGGGGAGTGATGTCTCCAAGAGAGCTTGAGATGCCGAGTAGAACATTTTATAGTTGGCACAAGCGAAATGATTACACTGCTTTTGCATTTAACACTAGGCCTGTTGTAAAGCACCCTTGCCAGAAACCCTTTCTTTTCTACATGTACAAAGTTAGGACTGATCATGAAAAGAACCAAACTATTGGAATTTACTATCATCATCGAACATTCAACCATCATTGCAGTTGGGAAATGGACTCGCCAAAGAAACTCAATTTTGTGGTGGTAGTAAAGAAGACAGATGACGATCGATGGCTCAAGGTAAACTTCTTTTCTGTTATTATGATCACAAGTTATATCGTATTTCCATCTGAACCCCCAAATTCGTTTTCGCAGTCGCCAAGGAGGGATTGTTGCAGAGTTCTTCCAAAGATTATAAACAGTACATTGATTTTAACTGTGGGAAATTGCAGAGACGGTGAAATTAGTGAGTTGCAGACCAAGAAAATGTTATGATACCGATAGGTTATTTTTTTAACCATGGCCAAAGTAGGCATACGACATTCAGGAATAAGAAAATGCTATGTTATACTAATACATGATCCATATTTTCCTCTTCATAGTGTTTACATGTGTAATTTCACTACAAACTAATGAACACAATCAACAACAGTTATATTCATTGCTTTCTCTAATTGGCATATTGATGGTAGAGCTAACAAGGCCTTAAAATGTTGAACCTCTAATCCGATGAGAACGAGAATTCCTCGAAACTGTTTTGTCGATCGGAAGCAAATATAGATGATTACTCGATTACTGTTCTGTTCCCAGAAAGATCTGAGGGAATTGATGATGCAGTACATCCCGGGATGGATACATCAATCTGAGAGTTACTAAGAAGCAATGGCATCTCAACATCTTCCATCCTTGATCTCCACATTCACTGATTTCATACCAAATAACACAAAGGAGAGATTATAAGATTGAACAATTTATTAGAGTTGTCTTCAATTTTCGGCCCTGAATACTACAGAAATATTGGGATTTTGGGGTTTGAGATATAAGTAATGGTGTAATTGCCTCCTGTTCTTCCATATCACAGCTTTCTTGATAAGCTAATCTACTAGTACCAGAATCAGACCAAAGGAAAACCCACATGCAAAATGAAGTAATTAACCAAAGGCAATGATTTTATTATTTCCTTGTAACTTATACCATTTTCTTGACATTGTCCACGAGAAGCAACTGCTTGGAAGGGATCGAACCGATTGTTACCTTCCAGCTATAGATGATGGATACTTCTGTCCTGCGAGAAGAAACTCCATAATCATTGTAAACACAACTTTAGTTCGTGTAACTGTATACATGGGAACATTCACGCCACATACAGACTCAACGGTGACTAGCCTTCAAGGAGCAAGAGAAAGAACCCATTTTTTATCAGCCAAATATATATATAAGAAAAAAAAATGTAACAAAAAAAGTTTGATCATTTGCAATTTCAAATAATATACAACAAGAAAACAATTATCCAACGGATCGAAACATAAATAGTTCCATGTAAAGCAAATAGGTTCCTGCAAGAGGAAGGGTGTGGATCAACGTCTTAATGAGAACCAAACTCGTATTGCTATCAGCAATGGTTAAAGATTCATTGTTTACAAGAGAAAAGTACACGAACTAGTTACTACCAACGAAATGATAAAAGAAATTTAATATATATATACGAGTTATATACTAAATGTAACCCCTCAGACCGATGCGGGTAACCTGATCCGATCTGGAGTGTCACATTAGGGCCATCGGAGCGATCCACTGTAAAATAGCAAAAATTTTGAAACTTTTATTAAACATGTAAAGTATAAAATGATTTATCAGTATGCAGAAATAAAACGGATTTTCAAACTCGTATATAAACACAAATACAATTACATGCCCCCTAATCACATGTATCATACTCTGCAAACAACGTCGGAAGAACTCCCTTACTGAAGTCGATAATTGCACTGGTACAATTCTTTTAACCTGAAATGGTGAGTAATAGAGTGAGATTCGGAAAGCTCAGTAATACAAAACTACTAGATGATGCTAAAGAACGTGCAAATACATATAAACATATATTTCATTATCAATTTAGACCATCTACAGATCTTTATGTTGAGCAGATATCCTACTGATATTTCAGGTAGTAACAGACAGTGAGCTTTCAGTTCAGATGGAAATATTTCGGATGTCTAGGTTTAGGAGATCAGAATCTGTTATCTAGTATGTTCTCTTAAAACCAGTAAAAAGATACAGATATTTTAAAACACACACACACACACACACACACACATATATATATATATATATATATATATATATATATATATATATATAACATGAACACTACCCCCATCCTTTCACAATCTATTTGTGTAAGTTCCCCAGAACCATACACCCTACACAACCAGTAAGGCCCTGAGCACACAGCCGAGAAGCCTGCAGATATACTTCCTCCAACAATAAACCTCCATATAAAACATTTCTTCGTCAGTAAATGGAGATATAAAAAAATCAAAACAGAATTCATATAAGATATCATAACAAAATCCATATCAGAAATCAGAACAGAATTCATGTCATGTATCAGAACAGAATTCAACATAACATAATTCAAGTCGAAAATCAGATAAAACATTTATGTGATTAGGGAACACACTAGTGTTTGCAGATATTATTCAAAGATATTGGATAATCTTATTAGGCAGAGAAACAAGGATCTTCCGTGTACCGATAGAATGCCGGAAGTTAGAATCACTATTGGAATAGTTCATTAAGTGACAAAATCATCAGTTATGTAGAATGTGATTTCAGCTGATAAGGAAGAAACGAGAATTTAATCTATGTCGATTGATCGGATTATCGAACAACTCCTAGAATTTATGCTTGTCGACTGGTTAATTCATTATCCTTCCATGGTATTTACTCTTTAATACCAAAAATTCTTATCCATATATCATCTTCGGAATCATCATTGAATAGATCTTCCAATATTCTTTATTTAATTTTCACACCTCCACGATATCATGAAATGATGACGTGCTTGATTTGTAGTTCATGACCCATAAGAACATTACATCATGTATGTTCATTAACGTTTCCAGACTCATCCAAATCACTTATTTAATCCTCAGTCATTGAGGTTTCTTATTTCATTTAACAGTCAAATCTATCCTGGTTACTTCAGAGTTTTCCAGAGTAATTCGGACGTTTTCTGAATTTCTGATACATATTATACTTCCTTTCATTTCAATTTAGTCATTATGGTATTCATGGTTGATTTGTCTCATGAATATCCACTTCTGAGTACCGAATGTACTCTAGAGTTGAGCTGAGCTATGTACTTCCAAAATTATCATCGATCCAAACTTGAGAAGACGAACACGCATTCGAATTATATCTATGACATTCAGGTATTGACATAACATTAGGGTTGATCTACTCACTTAAATTGTGTTCCATTACTTTTAAGTGTAGTCCAACACCTATGTTTATCTGAATTCCTTAATTAACCCAAGACATTTATTTAGTCTAGACCATAAGGGAATTTTGGTCATTTTGGTGCATAATATTTTTCCATTCATTTCAAAGCTTGAGGAAATCCATTCATTCCTGGGCTTGGTGATATTCTTTCCATTACAAGGGTATTTTGGTCATTTTACAGAGCTAGTGTATTTCAATCATTTCCTTCCATACGATCTTATTATTTAATTCAAATGTATCATCTTTTCTAGACCTTTCGAACAATTCTGACAAAAGAGCACCCTAGATAATTTATTCTTAACTCGGAGATTTTCAGGTCAATTGCCTTCTCAGAAGTTACAAATAGGTTATCAGGAATTTTCTGTACAAAGACAGGATCTTAACAATTAAATCCGTAATTTATCAGGTTAGGTACGAAATCTCAGGGTACTTTCTCATTCAGGGTCAACTTGGACTATTTTTACCTCTCAAGGGCATTTTCATAATTTCTTAACCAAATAATTTCAGTATTAACTCTTAACGAAAATAATTATAATATAGAGATCCTATGGTTAATTGTTTTCCCGAACATTCTCTGATCTTGAAATGATTCCTTAACAGACTTATAGAATCTTGCTCAAACCCTCTTGGGTTAAAAACCGGTTATCCAAATTTTCTAAGCAAAACTAGCATTTCTTATGCACATCAGTAGTTTCATCAGATCAATATGTCTTTAAAAACCCCTTATCTAACTTCCATTGTCAAATATTGTCTTTTTACAACATAAGGGTATTTTCGTAATTTTACCATACCGGAGTATTCTCATAATTTCTCATCCAAGTACCTTTAATATTTAACCTTTGATGAAATAAATTATAAGTTACATATCCAGGCTAATTCCTTTATCACTAATCACAGAACTCGTAATTTAATTCTAACAATCCCTCAATTTCTTATATTAGTCATCCGAGCCGTATTTATTTACTGAATTTTTTTACCGCATCCATATCCAGTGTGTGAATTAATTAAATACCCAAATGAGACCAAACATATTCATTCATGCATTTATCAATACCAACATATTCCATAAAGCATGAAAATGTAGTAATGTATTACCTCAATTTTCGTGTCATACTGATCGACCATTTAAATTCTATTCAAATGCCTTCGATCTTTAATTCAACTTCTCATAATTCCTTAATTACATAACAATAGAAATTTCATAAAAAACAGAGCTTAATTCCGAAAAACGAATTGAATCGAGTGATAAATCAGTGAAAATAACTTATCGGGTTCGAATTTGGTGAAACATATCCCAAAAACGAACTCAGGACGTCAAAAAACGTCATAATAGCTATACCCAGAAAAAGTCAACGGTCGTTTAACAGCCAGTCAACGCCGATCAAAATTCTGATCAATAGTGGTCAACGTTGGTCAACGAGTCAATGATCGGGTTGGTCAGGCAGGTCGTGTCGAATCGGATCGGGTCGAACCGGTCAAACCGGGTTTTTTTCTTCTTTCCACGTGCAAAACCATCCCCACGCGCCGGGGGCTATGCGTGGGGCGCGTGCGGTGACCTGGGTGCCCCGAAAAATCCAGTAAAAATTTCCAAAAAATATTTTAATCAATTTTGAGACACTTGCCAAGCTCGGTTCACAATTTTGAATGGCGGATAGATCGATTCCGGAACATCAGAAACTTTAACTTTCTCACCCCTCCACGCACCGGCGACGACGGAGACACGGAGGACACCGGTGGACTCGGAACGATGCAAGGAACACGATGGTGCGAGAGGTGTCGAAAACGGATGACCTGATTAATGTGAATCGACAGAAAACCAACGAAAAATGAGTTAAAACTGATGATACTTTCGATTGAAATTAACAACAAACGACGCTGATTCACGACGAGAGATTTGAGGAGTTTTGTTCATCTTTCGACAGCGAACATGATGATGGTTTTGATTCATCAAACGGTGGCTGAACGATGAGTATATCAGAGTTCAAAAGAGGTTTGAGGGGAAGAGAAAATGAGAACATTTTCGGCAGAAACATA